CCTCCTTCTCCTCCTCCTCTCTGCATCAGTGCCTTCTAGCATGGATGATGCTACTGGTTGGGTAATGAAACGCCCGCAAGAAAACCACTCAGTCAGAGAGCACCAAGGACCCCACAGTCCTTCCTCCTCCTCCTCCTCCTCCTCCTCCTTCTCCTCCTCCTCCCCCCCCAAGGACCCCACAGTTTGACCCCGAGCTCCAGAGATCCTCTCCTGTGGATTATGTTACAGAAAACTCGGGAGGACAGACTGAACCCTTCGGAGGGTTTATGGAAACCAATCCTGGCTTGACCGTTTCTGTTTTCCCTTTGAGAAAATCCACGTCTGCTGATGGCTTAAGCCAGGGGTAGGCAACCTCGGCTCTTTTATGACTCGTGGACTTCAACTCCCAGAATTCCTGAGCCAGCTTAGCTGGCTCAGGAATTCTGGGAGTTGAAGTCCACGAGTCATAAAAGAGCCGAGGTTGCCTACCCCTGGCTTAAGCCATTCAATTTCCAATTTTTAAGACACAAAAGGTGAACGATGCAACACTCCCGTGGCTTTCCACCTGGCCAGCTGGGGACCTGGGGGGGACCTTCGATCAAGCCAAGAAGAAAAATCAGCGTTTTTTTTAGCTTTTTGAGCGAGAAAGGCACTCTGGGAAGTGCAGAGGAATCGCTTCCACCGGCTTTTCCCACCCCCGCCTTCCTTATTTAATTTAAATGCTGCCAAATCCGCCCTCTTTCCAAAGCCGATCCTCAAGGGATGCAGGCAGTCCTCGGCTTACGGCCGCAGCCGAGCCCAAAATCTCCGTTGCTAAGTGAGACCGTTGTTAAGCGAGCCCTGCCCCATTTTTACGACCTTTCTTGCCTTGGTCGTTGAGTGAATCACTGCAGTCGCTAAGCTAGTCTCACGGTCGTTAAGGGGATCCGGCTTCCCCCACCGACTTTGCGGGTCAGGAGGTCGCAAAAGGGAGATCACGACACTGCAACTGTCATAGGTACAAGCCAGTTTCCAAGCATCTGAATTTCATTCCCGCAACCCTGGGGATGCCGCGACGGTCGTTAAGTGGGAACGAGGGTCATAAACCATCGCTGGAACTTTGAACGGTCACTGTCGTAAGTCGAGGACTGCCTATGCAACTCCTCCCCCTCCCCCGCCCACCAACCCACCAGAGACGCTCCCGGCCTCCCGGCTCACACGTTGACGTCTGCGCCTTTGCTGAGCAGGTAGTGGAGGCACTCGGTGGCCGTGCCCTTGCTCTCCGGGCCCAGCACCAGGTGGATGGGCCTCCAGCCACGCAGGCTGGCCATGTTGATGTCCAGGTTGTATTTCTCGATGAGCATCTTCATGCAGTCCAGCCGGCCATGCAGGGCGGCCGTGTGCAGCGTGGAGAAGCCCTGGCCGAGGAAGGAAGGAAGGAAGGAAGGGAGGAGAGGTGGACGGACGAGAAGATCTCCACGGTCTCTTCCAGCCCTAGGAGTCTATGATTCTTCCCTCTGGCTTGCTTACTCACTCACTCACTCACTCACTCCTTCCCTCCTTCCTTCCTTCCTTCCTTCCTTCCTTCCTTCCTTCGTTCGTTCGTTCGTTCGTTCGTTCGTTCATTCATTCATTCACATTCATTCATCCAAAAAAGATGTTGAGACTCTAGAAAGAGTGCAGAGAAGAGCAACTGAGATGATGAAGGGCCTGGAGCAGGGGTCTTCAAACTTGGCCCTTTGATGACTTGTGGACTTCAACTCCCAGAATTCCTCAGCCAGGCACGCTGGCTGAGGAATTCTGGGACTTGAAGTCCACTCCTCT